GGACTAATGATGCTGAATCGACCAATCAACTGTACGAAAACCGAGGGGATGTACGAAAACTGGGACAAAATTTTGACGAATAAAGTCGTTGAAAACCGAATCGTACGAAAAGTAGAGCATACGGAAACCGAGGTTCCACTGTACCAGTAAAGAATTGACACAAGAGGTTGGGGAGTTCTACAGTGGAAGTGGAGTGAAATGCTATTTCTGCATATGGTACTAAAATGTGCTAGTAGACAGCGGTATCTACCAGTATTGTATCATAATTTGGAGTGGCATATATTACAATGATCAGTGACAGTTTATGCTGATAAGAAGTGGATATAACAGTGGAATATAAGTGCTACAAGTGAATACAATGGCAGCTGTTGTGTTTGTGCTTGTAGAACAGCTATCTGCTGTTATCTTAGCTGTCGGGCAAGGAATAACGTTTCTGCTGGGCTTGAAGGCAACCCTGGTTAAGTCATGTACACAATACCACAAACACACATGGCTAATGTTAAAAGTTTAACTCACATAAATGAGTCTGTGCAGCAGTGACTCAGATGGTAAGATGCTGTGCATTAACTCTGAAAGGGGCTGGTTCAACCTCATCTGCCCATTATCCCACGTTTCAATGTACCACTTCCTAGAACACTATTGAAATTGTATAAATGTGAACACGGTACAAAAAGTAGCAGCTCAAAAGACCACAACAGAAATGCGGAATGAAATGTCTAATATTAATTATACTTTATACAAAGTCTCTTGACTAGCTTCTGTTTATCAGCAGTTATTTAAAATCTATGCATCCAGTCAGTGTGAACCAAAATGGTCAGCACTAAGGCAAATGTAATCATATTCTAAACTCTTAACATGGATCAGCCAGTGAGAACAAACAATGGGCCATGATGAACCTACATTAATTTTGCAACAGAAGATGAAATAGATAAATGTGGAAATAAATAAATAAATAACTATAGAAGTGACTGAATGTGAAAATGTAGAATGAAAGAAATATGGGGAAAAACAAACAAATTAATAAATGTGAAAGTTGCATATTCTTATTTCACATTTTAAAATATTTTTAATTAATCATGGTAATTTTTTATGCATGTATTTATTTAATTCTCTGTGTCCCTTTTGGGCCTCATAGTATAAGAATGCCACTCTAAAGTGAGGTGTGAGGTGAGTGATTTAAGCAATGCCTAAGTTTGACATCTTACATATGCCTAGGCCAAGGGCTGACCCCTAACTACATACAGTAAAGGGTTTCATACATAGGTGTTACTTTTCTACAGTAGAACATTATAAGCTTTATAACAGCATTAATGGATTTTATTAGGGTTTCCCATCTGGGAATAGGACTGACCAACACCCCCACAGACTAGGGCTGTTGCATCAAAGGGATTTTTGTCAGATCTGACCACCAGCACAAAAATTTGTTGCTCTCTAAATATTTTATAAATGTATGGACCATTGTCTATAATCAGGAAGTACATGACATGTAAACACACGGATACCCGAAGGTTTTGAGTTCAACCATGAATGAATTATTTATTCAATTGTATGCCCGCTTTTGCATGCCTGTTAATGTACTGTTTCTGAAGAGAAAGTATGTGAAAGTATGTGTTAGGATTTAAACTGCTGTTTGTTTAAAAGTGGGGGGCTTCTGAGTTAAGTGTAGGAATTCGCTTTTACCTGTAATTTAAATTATTTCTTTTTACATCAACCAAAACTATTTGGGTTAACCTTCCTTATATGTGTGGAAGAAACACTAGCCTCTCCTAAATTAAAAGAATTACCAGATTTATTTAATTTGTTTATTTGAAATTTAATTCATACCTCCAACCAAACTCTTAGGCTGAACCTCCTTATGTTGGCATGAAACAGCCACATTTCTCGAATGAAGAGAATTATTTGTTTTGCTTTTATTCTAAATTTTATTTAGTTTTAGCCTTACCTGTAACAAAACTTATCACAGGTAAACTTACTTAAAATTTAACTCTGATGGGGTGAACCACATGCTTTTCCTAAGGTAAATTATTTAATTTTGAGAGAAACATTAAATATTTTATAGATATAATGATTAAAGTGTAACAAACTATATCTGTGTGCTGGTGGTCAGACCTGATGTAATAAGGTCCCTTTGATGTAAGAACCCTAGTCTGTGGGGATGTTGGGCAGTCCTGTTCCCATGAGAAAGGAGACTTTGTGACATGCTGGTGGCCTTCTGTGTTGGTCAGTCCTATTCCCCCATGGGAAACCCTAATAAAATCCATCCATAATGTTGTTATAGAACCTGTGATGTTACATTGAAGAAAAGTAACACCTATGTGTGAAACCTTTTACTGTATGTAGTCAGCCCTTGGTCTAGGCATATGTAAGGTGTAAAATGTAGGTGGTGCTTAAGTGCCATAAATCACTCATTTCATACCTCACTTTGACAGGAGTGGCATTCTTATACTCTCTGGCCTCCATAAAAAAGTGATGAGGTGCAGGAGTTACTGTATATGCAGTTGAGTTCAAATGTTTACACCCCCATACTTTGAAATGGCAAAAAAGTAATACAGTTTTTTTTTTCTAATTAAAATATTTATTGCATATTCAACTGCTACAAATGTTCTTTCATCAACAGAAGTAACAAAACTGGTCAGGGAGTAGATAAAAGGAAAGAGAAACAATTTAGTCATATCAGTGTAAAGGTTTGTATCCTCTTTATGAAATTTTCCTTAATACTTGGCATGCCCTCCCTAACCACCTCCAACCTCTTTGGCTATCCTCTGATCGGTGTTTGTATCCTTTTAGGTGTAATGTTAGCCCATTCTTCATGGCATACTTGTTCCATGTCTGCCAGATTGCTTGGTTGTTTGCTATGTACTGCCCTGTTCAAATCGATTCATGGGTTTTCAGTTATATTTAAGTCTGGAGGTAAAACATTCACCTTATTCTTGTTAAACCCTTACTGAGTTGTCTTTGCTCTGTGCTTTGGATTATTGCCTTGTTGAAGGATCCACTGTCTCTTCATTTTTAGCTTTGTGATTGAGGGCAGGAAGCTTTGTATTAAAATCTTCTCATATTTGGCTGCATTCATTCTTCATTCATTCATTTTCTACCGCTAAATCCCTGAACGGGGTCACGGGGGCATTCATTCTTCCTTCCACTTAATGCAGAATCCAATGCCTGACATAGATTACGCATGACTGTGGAGATGTGGACTTTTGTTTCAATTACCTTTAAGGACCTTGTCAGGTCCCCTGTTTGCTTTAGATTCTTGTGTATGTCTTGAGCAAGTTTCCTAGCACCTCTTTCACTTGCAGTATCATTGAAAACTTGTGGATCAATTTGAAGAGGGCTGTACATAGAAGACACCCTAACAATCTGGTAGACTTGGAATAAGTATGCCATGAAGAATGGGCTAACATTACACCTGAAAGGACACAAACACTGCTCAGAGGGTAGCCAAAGAGGTTGGAGGTGGTTAGAAAGGATGTACAAAGTATTAGAGAATATTTTCATAAAGGGGATGCAAACTTTTGCACTGATATGATTTTCATTACAGTGGAACCTCGGTTTTCGTGATTAATCCCTTTCAAAAAAGTCCGATAAAAACCGAATGTATGAAAACTGAAGCAATATTTCCCATAAGAAATAATGTAAATCCAATTAATCAAAAATATTAACAAAAAATACATTTTATAGAGAATAACTATTTTTACATACAGAAAATGAGAAATAAATATAAATGACTAATGAAATGGATAAATGAACATTTAACATTACTTTTACCTTTATTGAAAACTCTTGTTGGTGTATGGAAGACAGTGAGGAGGGGAGAGGGAGGAGGAGAGGTTATTGTTTGGAAGGGGAATCCCCCTCCATAAGGACTGCATGTATCAAGGCCCTATCCAGGGTTACTTCCCTTCACTCATTTCTTCTGGGAAATGAGTGGCTGAGTCACGCGGGCAGGCAGACGAGTTTGGTAAGGACTAATGACACTGAATCGACCAATCAACTGTACGAAAACCGAGGGGATGTACGAAAACTGGGAAAAGATTTCAATGAAAATTTGTTGTCAAAAACCGAATCGTACGAAAAGTAGAGCATATGAAAACTGAGGTTCCACTGCATTTTCCTTTTCATACTCTTCCTGACCATTTTTGTTACTTCCGTTGATGAAGAAACATTTGTTCTAGCTGAATATGCATTAAATATTATGTTGAGAAAAAAATCTTTCGATCTTTTTGCCATTGCAAAGTATGGGAATGCAAACATTTTCACTCAACTGTAACTGCATAGCTCTGTGGAGCAAATATTTAAATATTAAAAATTCAGACTATGCCTGACTGTTGAAATTTGAAGGTTTTCCACCTGTGTGTGGTGGGGGGTGAAAGAGAGCGAAAGAGAGAAAGACAGTGTGCATGCATACATGTATTTTGCCAGAGGTACCAGTCCTTTGGCCATAAAATATTCTTTTCTCTTGCAGTATCTGTTTCTCTTTATAGGCTTCTGCCGGAGGTGCGAGCCTATTGTAAACACAGTGAACTAAAACTCTGAAAGGGGAAACCAGTGGAGTAACATTATGTTACCTTAAGTTGCTACTTGTTTTATTTTCTCTTTTTTGTGTAGACTTTTTTTTTTTGTTAAAACTGTTTATAATATTTAATATATTAAAATTTGTGTACTTTAAACCACATCATAATGTAAATGTTATACAAAAATGTTGGAATATTATATATTATAACTGTCAGTGTAGGTGAAGTATTGCAATTTGTCATAATCTTGCTGCTTGTGTAGCATGTGTTCTTTTGTTTAGCCTGGTTAAGGTTACATCACTTTGTGATATTGAGCATATCTTGAGAATAACTCGTATTTAATTCTGTTTTAATTTCTGTTGCTTAATTTAAGTGCTTTATGTGCATATAGTAATTATAAGAGTAAGACAACTAATCTATTCTGCTTACAAATCATTCCATGGGCTACAACAGTCTTCTCATTACATTACAGGTGTTCCTATGGAACATGGATAAGTACACATTGATCCGGAAGTTGGAGGGGCACCATAATGATGTGGTGTCTTGTGAGTTTTCACCAGATGGGGCACTACTGGCCACTGCCTCTTATGACACCCGTGTTATTGTATGGGACCACCACAAGGCCACTGTCCTGCTAGAACTGGGGTATGAAAATAACACACAATACGGAGGCTCTAGATTGTATTATTATTCATAAATGCACAGGTCAGAGTGGAGCATTCCCAGGGATTAAAATGTCTCTATAAAGTATTATGTTTCAGCAAAAACAAAGCCTAAAAACAATCTCTTGTGTATCTGAAGGTCAAGGTGAACCTTAAGTTAATTTTCATGCTCCAATGTTGGTTTTATACATAATGGTAGGCCAGTATGCATTTTAAATTGACCTTTTGGGTCATTTTTATAAATACTGATGACATATTTTATAACCAGCCCATACATTGGAAGCCAGTGACATAAAATTAACAGTTTTCATAAGCACCTAATCTGACTGGCTGGAGGTGATCACTTCTCTTCATCACCAGCCAATCAGAATAGGACTTGATGAATCCAACAGTCACTGTTGCTCTTTACTTCGTGTAATTGCTGTAAACACCAAGACAGTGTACATAGAGGTATATGATGATGATGATCCTGAATGGGAAGGAGAGTGACCAAGATTGAAAAGCAGGAGTTGGCATACCACTTCTGTTCCAGTGGTATATGCCAGTTCCCTTATGCTGATTTCCAAGTGGTATGTCACCATTTCCACAGACATATGCCATTTCTAAATGACAGATGCCACTTAAAACTGGCATGCCACTCCTGTGGCTCAACAGTAGTAGCTGATATACACTCACCAGCCACTTTATTAGGTACACCTGTACAATTATATGCAATTCAATGCAACACTTCCACCTTATCTGTGTTTATGAAGCTCAAAATGTTTCAGTCTTTAGTGAAATTGTCAGAAATGTATGAATTCAATTATATGTTTATTACTGAGGACTACAGCATATTCAGAGGTGTTCGTAATATTCTGACCCTCTCATGTATGTAGCTGGGGAGGACAAAAATAGACACACCTCTCCCGCCATCTGATCCAATTCACCACCATTGGACACCTAGGATGAGCAGTGCGATACCCCGATAATTGGAACACACACTCTGGTCTTCTCTTTTAAAAAATGGGAACCACCACCCCATTCTGCCAGTCCACAGACACTGTCCCTGTTCTCCATGCGACATTGAAGATGTGTACCAACCAAGACAGCCCAACTATGTCCAGAGCCTTCAACATCCCAGGGCAAATCTCATCCACTCTTGGTCCCTTTCCACCAAGGAGCCTTTTAGGTACTTCAGCAACCTCTGACAGGGATATGGGTGAAGTTTCCCCCAAGTCTTCCATCTCGTCCTCCTCTTTGGAGGGCATGTTAGATGAGTTTAGGAGTTCCTCAAAGTGCTCCTTCCACTGCCCAACAAGATTCCCAGTCCAAGTCAGCAGTTCTCCTCCCCCCTGCCAATCACATCGAAGTGAAGTAGGCCAAAAGATCTCAAAAAGCAAGCCAACATGCCACAATCCAAAGAAATTCAGGAACACATGAGAAACAAAGTAATTGACATCTATCAGTCTGGAAAGGGTTACAAAGTTGTTTCTAAAGCTTTGGGACTCCAGTGAACCACAGTGAGAGCCATTATCCACAAATGGAGAAAATATGGAACAGTGAACTTTCCCAGGAGTGCCCAGCCTACCACAATTACCACAAGAATGCAGAGATGACTCATCCAAGAGGTCACGAACCCACAACATCTAAAGAACTGCAGACCTCACTTGCCTCAGTTAACAGTGTTCATGACTCAACTGTAAGAAAGTGGCAAAAATGACATCCATGGCAGAGTTCCAAGGCGAAAACCACTGCTGACCAAAAAGAACATAAAGGCTCATCTCTCACTTTTGCCAAAAACATCTTGATGATCCCCAAGACTTTTGGGAAAATTTTTGTGAACTAATGAGACAAAAGTTTAACTGTTTGGAAGGTGTGCGTCCTGTTACATCTGGCATAAAAGTAACAGCATTTCAGAAAAAGAACATCATACCAGCAGTAAAATATGATGGTGGTAGGGTAATGGTCTTGGGCTGCTTTGCTGCTTCAGGACCTGGACGACTTCCTGTGATTGATGGAACCATGAATTCTGCTCTCCTAAAAAATCCTGAAGGAGCTGATCTGGCCATCAGCTTGTGACCTCAAGCTGAAGCACATTTGGGTTCTGCAGCAGGACATAGATTTGGATAGCTTTTTCCCTTAATAAATAAAATCATTTAAAAAATTGCATTTTGCATTTACTTGGGTTATCTTTGTCTAATATTTAATTTTGTTTGATGATCTGAAACATTTAAGTGTGACAAATATGCAAAAAATAAGAAGCCAGGAAGGGGGCAGATACTTTTTCACAGCACTGTATATCAGTGACAACAAACAAAAAAATGAATGCCTATAGTAAATCACTTTTTTTTTTGCCAACAATGACAACTTATGTCAGCTATTACTGTAGAGACACAGGAGTGGCATACCAGTTTCAAGTGGTATCTGTCTTTAGGAAATGATATGGTGGAAAATTAGGGCAGAAATCATTCAGAAATCATCATATGCTACTAGGGAATTGGCATGTACCACTGGAACAGACGCAGTATGCCACCTGCCGCTTTACAGTCACCGATCTGCTTACTGTTGCAGACTAGAGACTTCAATTGAATGGTAGGATTATGTTTGTTTCCTAACAAAGTAACATTTAATTTTTTTCAAGCATAGCCAGTGGCAGCTATTCTAGTTTTGGCTCAGCTCTTTTCATTTGGCTTCCTACACTCTCTGTGTAACACTACACAGGGGTTGACTTATTCTTGTGTATGCGATTTCATGCCTGGGTTAACATCACATTTGGCAATTTCAAAAACACTTGCTCTCCAGGTGGAAGAGTTAAAATTTTAAATAACTTAAACACCACAGAGACAGAGTTTAGTAATTTGACAGCAGAGGAGTACCTCTGCCATCACCCTCATCCATCTTAAATCTCATTTTGTTTGTTTTCTATCATACCACCTCTTTAATTCTAACATCTGTTTTTATACTCCTGCTCTCATCTTTTCCAGCCATCTTTTCCCTCCTCCATCACCCATTTTTGCTGGAGGGGCAAATGACCGCTGGGTTCGTGCTGTGAGCTTCTGCCGTGATGTCTGCCACATTGCCAGCATTGCTGATGACAGGTAAAAATAAAATGACATCAGAGTTAGTCATATTCCTCAAGTGGATACTGTGTCATATTCTCAACTGAATTTTTTAATTAATATCCATCTCACCAGATAGATGTCCAGATTTGCTATACTCGGTATAGTGGTGGGATTCTGAGTGGGGGTTTTCATTGCTTCCCCCAATTCCTTTGAGAGGAACAGTTTTCTAAATCAATCATATCTTTACAAAAAATAAATCAGTCCTTTAATTCAGTATTTTGTAGAAGCCCCTTAAATCAACAATACAAAATGTGCAAAAGTGGAGAATTTGGAGTACTTTCTGAAAGCCACTGTATCATTATGAACATATTTCAGTAATAGATCAAATATTAAGCCCCACAAGTGTACCAACGGTGTTCAAATCCTGAATGAGCAGTGATTTCAGCATAAGACTCAACAAAATGTGTTTGTTCACTGAAACCTTTTTTCTGATGCCTATTAGTGAACATGGGCTGATGGGTGTGCATAGAAAGGTGATTGGTGTAATAGAGTGCAGCAGAGATGCTTCAGTGTTTGCTGCACCTTGTTTTTAGATATTTCTGCAAGTCATGAATCTTAATGGCACTTGATAGCACAGACGTACTGTTTGTCTGCCTGAAAAGATCACTTGACTGTCACAAAGTAGACAATTAGTCACTCTGATCAGTGACTGGCAAAGCACTGAATTACTGTTAGAAAATGTGTTGAGAAGAGAAGCAGGGGAAAGCTCCAAAACATATTTGCTGGGGAAAATGGCAAAATAGGTCTTCCCACTGAAGGATTTAGGACTTCAGGAAAACACCATCATTCTAGGCAATGTAAAGTTAGATTAAGTAAATATACAAATAAATAGAAAAGTATGTGTTTTCAGAAAATGAAATGAGGCCTTCAAAGAAAAGAACACGGCCCTACAGTCAAACACGGTGGAGGCTCACAGATGTTTTGTGCTTCCTTTGCTGCTTCAGGCACTGGATGTCTTGACTGTGTGTTTGGCATTATGAAGACTACCAACAAATTCTGGGGTGCAATGTAGGGCCCATTGTCAGAAAGGTGGGTCTCTTGTCAGAGGTCATGGGTCTTATAGCAGGACAATGACACAAAACAGACTTCTAAAAGCACCAGAATTGGTTTCAGGCAATGCACTGGCAAGTTCTGAAGTGGACAGCAATGAAACCAGATCTAAGTCCCATAGAGCACCTATGGAGAGATCTCAAAACAGCAGTTCGGAGAAGGAACCCTTCTCCTGGAACCTGGAGCTGTTGGCAAAAGAAGAGTGGTCTAACATTTTATAAGAGAGGTATATGTAACTCATTGATGATTATAGAAAGCAGCTGATTTTGTGCAAAGGGTGTGCTACCGAATATTAAGTTGAAGGTGTCTATAATTCGTCCAGTCCATTTTTTTGAAGTCTGTGTGGAATGGATCAGATTTGGCTGTTTTTTACTCTGCTTTTTTTGTGTTGTTCCAATGAAACAATATGAATAAACATGAGAATACTAAAGAATTTGTGATTCCAACACTTTTCTGGGACAAGTGGTGTGTTACCTGACAAATGCAGAAGTGCCAAAATTTTGGGCGAGTATAGCACACATGAGCACCACTGCTTGATGACGAATATCAGCCTCCATGTTTGTTTATTTCTGAAGTTGCATTTGAGCCCTGGTGAGTTCCCTGGTCTCCAGAATTGGTGTGTCTGAAATTGTTCAGTAAAAATAGCAAGCGTGTGGTCCTGCCTGTGTGTGTGCTCTTAAGATTAAAACGTGAAAGAAATTGTTAGAGCTGTCATTATGTCTGTGGTCTCATGTTTTTAAAATTGGTTAAGATTATAAAATCCTCTAGTGTGGGCCCAGCTTTACTCATTGTGTGTAGGCATGAGTGGTTGGTTTTCTTAATTATCAAGATAGAGTAGATAAGAAGTGTGCTGGTATGAGGAGCCAAGCAAAGAGGAGGAGTGGTTCTGGGACACTGGAACAGTTAGTTCTACCTTCTCGGGGTCGAGGGCCTAACTCAACGAAACACCAGATATTGAGAGAGTGCCCATCTGTTGACACTGTAGACTTGCCTTCACTCTTGCACCCTCACAGAATTTATGTTGTCGTTGATGATAATAGTTAATTTTTTTCAAAGGGGTTGTTAGGGGTGTATTTTTGTTCTGGTTATCATAGAACAGTGACATTGATTGGAAAATTGAGCATAACATGGATACTTTGGCACATTTAATTTTGTATTGTCAACTTTTTGCTTCATCCATAGAAAGATATAGTATATTAACAACTGCTTAGCAGGTTGCAATGAAATTTTTTAAAAGCATCCCTAGAGATTAATTTTTTAAAATTTCTCACCCAGTTTATAATCAAGATATTTTAATTACGTGAAAATAGCAATCTAAGGGGCTTTGTGGCAATAAATTTCACGATTCAGCAAACGATCCTTTTTAATTCAGTGATCCTGCAGGCATTCTTCTAGTTCCAGCTCCAGGGATATAAAATGGCATTTTTTCCAACTATTTCTAGAACTCTAAAGTTGTGTGTAGACAGAAGGCAAAGCAAACTTTCACTTTGTCCATTGTGTGAATTTCACCGCTGGACCATTTACTGTTGTTTATTTACTCCAGACAGACAATGTAGGCTACAAGATGTACAAATGTTATCTGTGAGCTAGCTAGCAACATTCACACTGACTGTCTGTGGCAGTGTTCTTGTTTGTCATCAGCTCAGCTTTTGACTGATCTCAGAACTCAGCAGAGACTCCAGGTCTCACTAAACATAGAGTAAGAATAGAAAATAATTGGTATGTTGTTTATCTTGTCTCAAGATTCTTTTTAAATTTTGTGTTGTAATAAACACTGCCGCCTCTAGCGACCCAGAAAAGAAAAGCTTTTTTCTTTTCATTGGACCCTCTTTGCCTGGTAAATGTCCATGTCTTTTAACTTTATTTACCCCCAGTTTGTAACACAGGCCTTTGGTTATAAATTATTACTCGCTGACCTCAGATGTTGTACATTCATTTCTCTGATTACTCAAACAATATTGTAGAAAACCTCTGTATTTTTACAAGATAGGAAAAGTTAGAACAAGTACTTTTAATCAGACACCTTCTATAGTGGTATATGAGAAACTGCTCAAGTAGAAGAGGGCACTGACAAAGTTAACTTGACAGTCAGTAGCTGGACACACATTTTACTCAATTTGGTCTGATGAAACACTAAGAATACAAAGGTAATTCATTTCCTTGCAGTTTGGATTCTGACAGCAATGTCCTTGTGCTTTGTTTTTTCATCTGTTCCTGTTCAGATTGGTTCGTTTCTGGAGCACTGAAGAAAGGGCTCCTCAGGCCATCGCCTCTATCTCTAATGGCCTCTGTTGTGCCTTCTCTGCTGAAGGAAATGTCCTCGCTGCTGGGTAAGACATAACATTATGTTATCTCATTACCACTTTACTGGCTCCTGCCTAATGATAGAGGAGCTAGGGTTCTCCATGTTGTATCTTAGATTACCATCACCTTGAGTAGATTGTATGTGTTCTTGGGTGTTTTTAGTTTTGTCTGAACATTTCCACTGAACTTTTGCACTTAAAATGTACTAGTGTTGTCTTGTGAGTATCCCATTTATAATACCTCCTCCTTTTTGACTTAATTATTTGTTTGTTCTAGGACTCGCGATGGTAGTGTGCATTTTTGGGAATGTCCTCGTAGCATTTCCACTCTGCAGCACATGTGCAGAATGGCTCTCCGCCGGGTGATGACCACCCAACAGGTAGAGGCCCTGGCCATTCCCATGCCGCTGCGTGACTACCTGGCATACAAAGTCATTTAACCCCCACCCTAGCAAGAGCTGACCCAACTCACACGCCACAGCAACGGCGTCCAATGGATCTCTTATTTTGGAGATGGACAAAAATTGAAACCCTTTTTTCATGTTATTTTGATAAACAACTGTAAGTGATCAGGACAGAAAGAATGGAGTTAAGTTTTACAGAATTTCCAGTGCCACAACTCTGTTTCAAACATCCCCACATTCATTTGCAGCAGGGTATTGTGCTAATTTGTACATATTTATTTTTGTAAGTGATTTAATAAATTTATACCTTTTAAGGTCAAGTTATTTCTGATGCCTCCTGTCCTTTCCATCATATCAGTGTGATACCTTAGTGTTCAGCTCCTTTTCTATGCGGCTCCAGTTCTCTACCAGACTCAGTGATTCATTTTTTTCTCTGACTTAAAATTGGCTTTTGCATTTAATGAGTTGCTTTGCTATAGTACTTCCTCTTAATGTCAGGTTTTTTGGTGAGCTAAAGGGAAGAAGTATGTGATATTTAAAGGATGCAAGATTTTGAAGGCATATTGAGAATCTTTACATTACTGCCATGGCATAAAAGAAGCAAAATCAAGAGATTTGTTTTCTCCCTTAGATTTTGATTATTTGCCTAAACATTATTTATACCAACATGGCACTTGACACTGAAATCAGGACTTAATTTAATGTATATAGGCAGTAGTTTTTAATACACACACAAATACATTTGCCAGACACATCAACCTTTACATGACCCTGTACAGTATGTAAATTTGTCATTTAATTTCAGGTCACACCAAAAATGTGCCATTTTAAAAAAAGGGAACATTCACAGCTAGCAGTCAAGATACAGTACTAGATAATGAGCAGCTCAACAAAAAATGAATTGGCATTTACATTGGTATCAGTGTATACAGTGGATTCAGAAAGTGCTCAGACCTTTTCAAGTTTGAAACATGTTTCAGACATCTTAAAATGGGTTCCGTTTTGTCTGATCAATCTATACACAATATTTCACAATGACAAAAAAGTTTTTGGAGTGTTTTGTAATTTTATTAAAAATAAAAGACAAATATCCCATTTACCTAAGTATTCAGACCCTTCATTTAGTTTGGTTGCTAAACGGGTAGCCTCTTGTAATGGCTTCACGGGCAGCATCCTTGCTCGGTCCTCAGAACCTATATATGAGACTTGGAATGTCCTCGGCCGTTGGTCAACCAGAACAAGATGCACCCTATATTTTTCTGTATCCACCCTTCCCAATATACTGAGTTGTCTTCCAGTCTCAGAAAAACATCCCCACAGCATGATGCTGCCACCACTGTGTAGAGATGTAGAGATTGTATTAATGAGATGATCCTGAGTGCCTGGTTTTCTCCACACACACCATTGGGAATTGTGGCTAAATAAATTAATTCAATCTTTGACCTCAGACCGGAAGATTTCTGGTGGTTTTTGGCAAACTTCCAGCGGGCTATCATGTCTTTAGTCAGGAATGGCTGCTGTCTGGCCACTTTACAATACTATAGAGGCCTGATTGGTAGAGTGCTGCGCTGATGGTTGTCCTCTTTCAAGGTTCTCACATCTCCATAAAGGAACTCTGAATCTTATTCATAGTGACCCTACCTGTAGCAGTCTGATGGCTGTGCCCATCACAGTACAGGTTTACCTCTGCATTAGGTAGCTGTTCCTTATGCAGGTTTTCATGTAATCTCATTTCAATGTCTGTTCTGCTCACACAATCATGGTCCTGGTCTGTGACCATCTGTGTAGCCATGTTGGTTCCTTCACTTGTGAAGTGTATGTGAGTTTGGTTAAGTAACTGTTGTAGGTTTTGGGTCCTCTGTGCCGACAGTGTGAATGCTTTAGAATCTAAAAATGCTTTTACTGCATGCGTTGTGTGTATGACCGTTTGATAACCCATCGTGATGTGTGCAGTTTTCACTATTGCTCGGCCAATTGCAGCAACATGTCTCACACAAGTCGGATGCCCCCTTTCAACGTTATCTAACTTAGCACTGTAGTACATCAACACCTTTCGATTGTGACTTCCACCGCTGTCATCTCCTCTTTGAAACAGGACTGCATTTACAATGCCATCCTTTTCATTGACATCTAGGTGGAATGGTTGCGAGTAGTCC